GGGACTTGCGCGTCCACCGATTTTGGTATCCATGAGGGTCCTGGAACTAATGCTCCACAGATACCGAGGGATGACTGTATATACATATATGTGTGTGTGTTTATATATTTGTTTGTTTGTTTTTTTAACTTACACAAAACGTTTCATCTATTTGACAGGAGTAGAATGCATATATAAAATGGTCAAGGCATTCAAGCCCTGGGATATTTCTAAAACATCAAATTGGAGAAAGGAAATATACATTTAAAACATATTTCAATCCCAACACACCTTCCACAATCCTAATCTGGGGTAACCTATATCTAAATTGTTTCTATTTTATGTTGACAGAAGCAAAAGTAAAAAATCATTCTTTTTTGAGATATATTTTGTTAATAAGAAAACCAAAAACTCCTTGCCATTGAGTCGATTCCAACTCATAGTGATCCCATAGAGCAACCAAAAAAATAAATAAATAAAACCCGTTGCTGTCGAGTTGATTCCGACTCACAGCGACCCTATAGGACAGAGTGGAATTGCCCTATAGGGTTTCCAAGGAGTGGCTGGCGGATTTGAACTGCTGACCTTCTGTTAGCAGCCTGAGCTCTTCACCACTGTGCCACCAGGGTGCCATACCGTACTCGTTGCCATAGAGTCACTTCTGACTCATAATGACCCTATAGGACAGAGTAGAACTGCCCCACAGGGTTTCCAACGAGTGGCTGGTGGATTTGAACTGCCGACCTTTTGGTTGGCAGCCAAGCTCTAAGCCACTGCACCACCAGGGCTCCACCAGGGCTATAGTATAATATTAATTATAAACATTTAGAAAGTGTTTATAAAGCAAAAAAACTAAAACTGAAGAAAACTATTAGCTGTTAAGGACAGTAGACATTCGAATTTTGTTCTATTTATGAGGATAAGAAAGTACCCGGGGGGAAAAACAGTTTTGTTTTTTGGGCAGTCATGAACATTAAGAGTGATACACAAATCATATCGTATCTTAGAGGACTGCTCTTTTTCCTCACTGGATCTATAGAGTTTCATGCCTTTTATTTTTAAAAAATCAGACCTCCTCCCAAGACTGTTCAATATTAACCACAATGAAAAAAATTAATGACAAGGAAAGAGGAGAAACAACTAATCAAAAAATATAGTCTTCCACCCGCCCGCCCCCCATGTCACTCAGGTGCAGTTATCATTCCATTCAAATTCACCGGAAAATATCCTAGTGTGCTTCACAAGAAGAGCCATTTCAGTAGTTCTCAGTGCCCCAAGTACTAAAAACAGCCTCCTGTTTTAGGGACTGCTAATCCTACAAGCATTTAGAGCTAGAAATTAATCCGTCTGCTTTTGAAACACTAGAGCCTACTTGTTAGAGGAGAAATGTAGCCCTAGTTACTAAACTTGGTGTCACCACAAGTAGTGGCCCTCACTTCACTTTCGGTATCACACTGACCGACACAGTTATAAATTCACATTATTAGCCCCCTGACTAGAAAGACTCATGGCCCTTTCTTTTCTGGATCATGATCAGTTTCATTAAGCACTAAAATTACAAAGCCCTGATGTGATCAGTAATCCTAATTGGAGCAGGTGCCCTTTCTTTGCTCATTCTAAGGTCATTGACAATCCTGCAACATCCTCATCGAATTTGAAGCAAATTCTGCTTTGAATATTGATGCTTACACAAATAAGTCATGGTTCTTAAAGCTTCAAATTATTCATGCTCCAAAGCGACAGTTATCTAATGTGTATCATTTAGAATTTATTTATTCTTTAAGAATATTCACTAGAGTAGGCTGTTAACACAGTTGCTAAGTATTTATTTAGGAAAGATTCTATAGTGAAAAAGTTAAGAAAACAGGATTTGAAGACAGACTGCCTGAGTTTGAATCTAGTTACTTCATTTATTAGCTGTGTAGCCTGAGGCAAGTTTCTTAACCTCCCTGTGCTTCAGCCGCCTCATCTATAAAACCAAAACACCAAACTCACTGTAGTCGAGTCGATTCCGACTCATAGCAACCCTGTAGGGCAGAGCAGAATAGCCTCATAGGGTTTCCACGGCTGTAATCTTTACAGAAGCAGACTGCCACATCTTTCTCCTGAGGAGCAGCTGGTAAGTTTAAATAGCTGATCTTTTGGTTAATAGTTGAGCACTTAACCACAGAGCCACCAGGGCTCCTTTATCTGTTAAGAATGGATATAAATAAATATGTAAGCACTTAGAATGCTGCCTGACACATAGTAAGGTTATAAAATGTTAGCTATTATTTGGCATTTCTACCTTCAAAATATACCCAGGTTCTGACCACATCTCACCACCTCCATTGCTACTCCACTAGTCCAAGTTGCTCTCATCTCATGCCTACGTTATTGCAAAAACTGGTCCCCCTGCTTTTGTCCTTGTCCATGAGTAGACAATTTTCAACACAGTAGCCAGAACAATCATGTTAAAATGCAAATGGAACCATGTCGCCCCTCTGCTCAAAGCCCTCCAATAATCCCCTATTTCACCAAGAGTAAAAGCCACAGTCCTTATAAGGGATTCCATCCCCAAGCCATCTACTCCTGGTACTTCTCTGCCCTCACTTACCTCCTACTATACTCACTTTACTCCAGTCATATGGGACTCCTTGTGTTCCTAAAACAGGTGAGACATACTCCTTCCTCAAGGCTACTGTACCTTTTCTCTGTGCCTGCACCGTACCTCAGGAGTTTAATTTCTGTGGATGGCATCACATGGGCTCTCTTGCATTTGACTATCAGTTGGCTTTGACCAACAGCAGGCCTTAGCAAGAGATTAGAGGGTAGGAATACAGAAAGGTTGGGTATTTATCTTCCTGGCTCTCTCTTTGCAGGGTTGTCATTTGGCAATGGCTACATTCTCCTAAGTTATTAGCTCATTTCCAGTGACCCTTCTTTCTCGGCTCTAGCTCACACTATTTCTTCTGGTTACACGACTTCTACATCCCTTCTTCAGAGCAGGGGTGTTAAAAATCTCATGATATTGCTGATCATTGGGTGCCCCACAATTCTTTTTTATTTCTCTTACCCTGTCAAAACTTCTGTAAATAGTTCCTTCATTAGTGTCTCTTCTGTTAAATCATTTTGAGTATGGCATTTGTTTCCTGCTGGGATGCTACCTAACACACACAACAAATACCGTAGTCTTCATCAGATAATCGATGGGAAGCCATTCAAGATCTTAAGCACAGGGGTAACATGGTTAGTTCAACATTTTATGTTTCACTCTGATAACTCTGGGAAAGATATATTTCAGGTCAAAAATACTTTCTTCAGACAAAACAGTGACAAAGAGCAAGCAGTAGTCCAGGTAAGAGACGGTGACTGACCAGAATAAATGTAGTAAGTATGGAAAGTAGATAACAGAATTGAGAAATGTTTAGGAGGTAATTTCTTTAGTATTGGGAAATGATAGAATGCAGATGACAAGGAAGAGAAACGGCCCAAAGGTGAAGCCCAGATTTCTATCCTAGGAGGTGATTGGGTGGTTGATCATGCATATGACCAACAGAAGAGAAGCTCTAAATGCAAGACCAGAAGCGAATATGCTGGAGAAAACAGTGAGTTGGCTTTAGACACGGTGAGTTTGAGACGTCAATGGGACACCCAAGTGGATATGTCCAGCAAGCAGTTGTACATGTAAACCTGAAACCTGAGGAAGTGGTCTGAACTTTAGATGTAGATTTGGGAACCATGAACTGCAAATGACAGTTGAAACTCTGGAAGTAGTGTTAAGGAACACAGGCATTTAAGGAATGGGTGGAGGAAGGTGGCTATGATGAAGACAAAGAAGGAATGGACCAAGATGTTCAAGGAGAACCAAAATAATATACTCAGTCCAAAGGCCAAGGAAGCAAAGTTAGAAGAAGGAAGGCGTTATCAAGATTGTCAGTTGCAAAAATATCAAGTTATCAGAGTAGGCTACCACAAGGCCAGTCAGGGACTGAAAAATAATTATTGGTTTCAGCACTTTTCTCCCAGACTTGTTACAGGTGTCAACAATAGAGCATGTATAAATTGTTCAGCACAGTGCCTACCACATTGTAGGTGTTTGGTAATTTTTGATAATTTGTTACCTTTTCAATTCCCTTCCTCTAAACACATTTATAAAAGTTCACACAACATAGATAGTAAATGCTGAATGTTATTTTAAAATTTGAAAGAAGTTATATAAGTTTTATTGTAATTTAGGATTCCAATTTAAGTTTTAAAAAGTCAAAACCGTAATCTTTTGAAAATGAAGACTCTCCTAGGTTTGGTGAGCAAGTGGCCAGAGGAAGCAACATTCCATAGGCTACAGACTTCTAGATAATATTCTGTGGGTCCTTACTGGGTAAAACTATTATATTGTCAGCAGCAGAAGTTGAAGGAGATCCTATCAAACAAACAAACCAACAACAAAATGGTGACCATTTCATTGTAAAGTGTAGAGGTCACAGTCAACTGGAACTTTTCACAAAGATGTACTGGTTCCAAATTTTTAAGACCTTTTTTATTTTTATTTTTTAACATTATAAACCAGGAAATATCAGTGTTTATATTCATGGGGCTGATGAAATCGGTACACATTTTCAGGAAGAACATTTATCTCTTTTTAGTATTTTATTTTTGGTGATAATACATACAGCAAAACTCGCTCCCATTCATTAGCTTCTAGATATAATGATCATCAACTTTGTTACATTCTTCACATTCTTGTTATTTCTGTTCTAGTTGTCTCACTCCCATTGACTTAAACTCCCTGCCCCCTGCCAACCTTCTCTTCTATGCTTTAAAATAGCTCTTGTCCATTTAGTCTTGTATAATTTTTTTAAAGAATGCAATACTCAAGGGTGACAATCTATTTTTTGAGCTAAATGTTACTTAGTTTAAAGTTGACTTAAGGGGATGGTATTGATTCAGGTTTGAAGAATAACTCAGGGCAATCGTCTCGGGGACTCCTTCAGCCTCAATAGGTACAGTAAGTCTGGATTCTTTATGAAGAGAATTTTTACCTTTTGATGTAAACCTAGCTGGCACATGTCTTCCTTGGATATGCAGGGATTTCCACCAGGATTCCTAGAAGACAGGCAAATGAGCAGATCCCACGGGCCCAAATCACCTAATAGCAAAAAGAATATGAAACAAATAATTATTATCAGATCTTTTAAGGCACCATCTAAGTCCTCAGATTAAACAATATAATTATTTAAACCCTACAACATGGGTAACAGTAATTATTAATATATTTAAAAGAAAAAATCAATTTTCAAAGCAACTAAAATTTAACATTTCTAATTTA